CTTTGTAATGACCTTTTGCATTCTTCAGGGATTATATTCTTGGTATCTCCCACATCTCATCTGGTCTTTGCTCATCAATATTCAAGGCGTCAACCCTGTTCCTGAGATGATTTTCAAATTCAAGTGGGATAAACTCAAGTTCAGATTTTGGTTCCCGTGGATTTAATTTTCCTTAGCTTCAGCTTAAAGTTGTATAAGAGTAGTTGGTGGTTCCACAATTAGCAACTAGCCTAATATTCACAGCTGATATTGAGCTTTTCCAGTGATTCTTTCCACAGATGTTATTGATCTGATGCCTATGCATACCACCAGGTGAAATCCATGTGTATAGTCTGTGTTTGTGTTTGTTACAAAAAGTATTTGCATTTAATAAATTGTTAAATGTACAGAATTCTATCATTCTATCCCAGCTTCATTTCTGTCACCAGGTTCATGTTTCCAACTACAGATCTTTCTTCTCTGTTTTCAAGAGGAAAATAGCACCCACCTATCTTCCTGTTCCCCAAAATATAACCAAGTGATCAGCTGAAGTTTCTGTGTCCTTGATGCTCATGGCAAGAAAAGTAGTGGAAGTCATCCTTGCTATCTCTGAGAGCCAGTTCCCTCCTTGGGCTCTTGTGGATGATGTTTTAGTGCCAAGCAGTGAGGGCAAGACAAGACACACCCTTCTAGAGTAGGCAGTTGTGGCAAAAATATGCGAAAAGAACATTACTATTGTTATTGTTGTTGAAGTTGACGTTATGTTACCATATGTTATGGTATGTTGGTGTTATAAGTGGAATAATCTACAGAGACATTTCAGAGTTAAGAATTAAGAGGGGGAGACAAGGGTGGACTCAAGACTCCAGGAGAAGGGAGGAATACGACTGAGGCAGCTAAACCTGGTTGTGCAAGAGATCTTTAACATTGTAGGAAACGTAACAGAGTTTTCACTCAGTTCCACCTTCCAAGAAACTGAAATCTAAGCACTTTGAACTTCCAATACCTCCCTTACCCCACCTCTTCATTGTCTCTTCCCAATGTCCCTTCTCCTCTACTTTCCTTTCCCTGCTTTCACACCCTTTTCTTCTGCTCTCCTCTCAATTCTCCTCCCATTCTCTACCCCGCCCCCCCCACCCCTCCACCCTCTTTATTTTTCTGTGACTCAGCATAGAGAGGAAATCTACAGTGAGTCTAAGGAGTCTACCACTTACTTATCACTGAGCTGCTGGTAAGGTGAGTGATGCTGGCGAGGGTATGGGACCCTGGCCCTATCTGAGAACCTGTCTACCTTTATTTGAAAATTCACTTCTCCTCATTTATTTCTTCCCCTCTGCACCATGCTGGTGAGTCTACCTGATATGAAACTGGACTCTGAAAGAGACTGTAGGTTGAGACAGCCAGAGCTAAAACCTGCCTAATGCTAGCTTGGTGACGGGGACAGGGACAGAATAATAGCAGATTTCAATCATTCCTCTAGCATTAGAACAAATAGGTAACTGACCCTCCTGTGGGTTTTCTGACGGTACAAATCACTTGGAAGAACATGACTTCTTCCCACAGAGCCATGGGTGGATTCTAACCTGCAGAGAGACTTTTCCTTTTGGTTTTAGCTGAATTCCCTATGGACTTACCACAAAAAAGAGGGGGGCATATTTGAGACATTCTAAACTCATTCTAATTGGGTGGCCCAGGGGAGCCCAGGGAGTCACTAGTCCTGGAAATGGAATTTCCCTTCCCTCCCATCTCCCAGATTCCCCTCCTGAAAGTGGAGGATTGAACTCTAGCTGCTCAGGACACTGAACCAGGATATACGCTGGTCAGCGCCCTAGAGGAAATGATAGCAGGTAGCTAAGAGAAGAGGTCAGGGAGTGCTGACCACACTTCTCAGCACACTCAGGGTCAGCTAAGATGCATGAAAACAGCTCAGAGTGTGTTTCTCTCTCCCCTACCCCTCAAAAGCAAAATTCATACATTCCTTCCTTCTTCTCCCCCCATCTGTTTTCATTTGCAAGCTGTTTGACTTTCTGCAAACAACTGAGTCTGTTTACTGATGTCTATATGTATAAGGGTTCTGGCAGTCTAGTGCTTAAGGGGTTGCATTCCTAACACAAAGGCAGGCAGTTGGACCAGCTGTTTCAAGGAAGAAAGATGGGCTGTCTTCTACCACGTGATTTACAGCCTCTGAAAACCCACTGGAGGATCAGCTATGAGTCCGTTCTGACTCGACAGCATTTACAAAGGGCACCATATGCGAAGCAAATCATCTGCGTGTGCTGTATGAAGAAGAATGCAGCATGAGGACTAGAGGAAGACCCAGTAACAACATGCAAAATGCAGCTGTCACAACCTTGCTTGATGAAAGAGAACAGGCTTGAAGCAACTACCTATGAAGACCAAAGACTGTAGTCCCCAGAATGGATTACACTTCCACATAAAGGAAACAGAAATCCTCACAAGTGGACCAATAAACAATAACATGACACATGGAGAAAGAGTGAAGTTAATCCACAAATAAACACCCATGGAAACAATTATCAGAACATTAAATAATATATTACCCTAGGTAAATCTGTTCCAAAAGGCCCTTTGAACACTTTAAAAGTGCCCATCAACAAACGAATGACTAGAGAAGCTGTGGTATATTCGCACAATGGAATACTATGCTGCATTAAAAAACAAGGAACTTATGCAATATTATTCAAAATGGTTGACTCTGGAGAACATTATGCTGACTGAAATGTCCCAGTCACAAAGGGACAAATATTGCATGGTGCCACTGTTGTAGAATGGGACTGTCCTTGGGGTTGGGGAGATACTGAGTAAGATGGGTTCAATAATGTATGCTGCTCTGAAACAGAGAAGGGAGAAAACTGTTTAAAAGAGATATGTGATTAGGTATTTCTGTCATGACAGGAGTCTAGAGCGATGGCTACATGGTGGAGTGGACCTGGGGGAGGGTTTGTAAAATAATGAAAGAATCTTTTCTTTTACTTTTCCAAGAGGGTAATGTCTGGTGGGGGGGGAGCCTTGGGAGGGGACAAATCTACAACAATGAATGAATGGAAATCCAAAGTCTCTGTAAATTTTCACTGAAATTAATAACAAATTTAAATTAAAAAAAAATTTAAGTTAGAGTAAGGATGGCAATGGAATCACCTTACCTCTGTAACTTGATTTGTGCCACTATTATTAGAACCTCTACTCAGAATATTATTGCTTTTCAATTTTTGACTCATGCACTTTTAACTTGTTAGTTAAATTTGTATCTTCTAGGCTGCAACACTTCCATGATACATCTTCAAGGATATGAACATGTACGGCTAAGCACAATTGATAACAGTGCATCTAAATTCCAAAATCAATCTCCATAATAGTCTATGTGTTTCCTACTGCCAAGGGGGCCCTTTAGAGTAGTGAGAGAAGACATTCACCCTGAAACCCACAGCATCCCTTTTCAGCAGGAAGTAGCTAAGAGAATACGCCGTCCCCTTTTCCTTATGAATCAAGGTGAAGTCTCTCTCTCAGGGAGGAGTGATAGGGAATGGCAAGGGACACACTGACAAAGGGGATTAATCAGAACTGGCTTTGACAAGCACTGTGGCAATTGGACAATTAAAACAGACATTTGGGGGGGAAGAAGAACGAACTGGGGAGGAGGGTGGAGAAAATAGTGCAACAATGAATGAATGAAAACCCAAAATCTCTGTAAATGTTCATTAAAACTAATAAAATTTAATAATAAAAAAAGAACTGAACACTGTGCAAGAACAAAGATAACATTTTGAAGACTAAGATATACCTAACTCAAGCCATGACTTTTTTTTTTTCAGTTACCTTATGTGTTTGTAAAAGCTGGACTTTAAATAAGGGTGTTGGTAAAAAATGTTGAGTATACCATGGGCTTGCACAAGAACAAACGAATCTGCCTCAGAAGAAGTACAGCCAGAATGCTTCCTGAAAGCAGAGACAATGAATGATACTTAGTCTAATGTACTTCAGATACATGAGACCAATCAGATACAAGGGACAAATTCTTGGAGAAAGACATGCATGACATGGGAGAAGATGGGGGGGGAAACCTAGAAACGGAGAGATATCTTTATCATAGATCACCTGAAGGATTCCCAAAGCAGTGACTGGTGGACAGAGCCCAAGTGTTAAAGATGGAAACTTGAGGCTTCTCACAACCTGAGCATACTGACTCAGCAACTCTACCTAGTCCTTCCTTCCAGCCAAATTAGCAACTGCACCTGCCCTGTGCCTTTGAGCTATGGTACTGAAGAGTGTTGCAAGATAACAGGTCTCTCTTGGAGAGGGTGAAACCTCCCGAGAGGCAAGTATTTTGAAGCTTCCTCTAACTTACTTTGGCCACGTGGCCAGGAAGAACCAGTCCTTGGAGAAGGACATCATGCTTGGAAGGGGGAATGGACAGCAAAGGAAAGGAAGACCTGGATGAAATGGATTGACTCTGTAACTGGGGTAATGGAGATAGGTGTGTCAGAGTCAATGAGACTAGCTCAAGTAAGGGCAGGTTTCGGAGTTATTGTACATGAGGTCACTATGAGTTGCAGGCAACTTGATGGCACGGAACAACCACCCGACCAAAACAGACAGTTTGCTGGATTTGAATGGAGCCAGGCCCAGGCTTGGTATAATATTTTTTTTCGTCCCATGTTTTGTCCTTCTCCAGTGGATTGTTTCTGCCTTGCACTGTAGTGAGGAATCTTTGAGGGGGTTAAGCTGAGGTGGACCAGATGAAAATGGACTTTAACTCTTGAGGTCCTGGACAATTTTCTCTGTCACTGGTGGAGACTCCATTTGCCTTTCTGTTTTACTATATTACAGAAGATAAACTCTTGTTGCTTAAACTGATGCTCTTGCTTTTTCTGGGTTTTGCCCCCTCTGATCCATTCTTTTACCCTTTGATTCATTTCTTCATGACACAACCTTTACCTTTTAATTTATTTATTTTTTTTTATTCTTTATCCACTAGTTTCCTACAAGATCTCTCTGGTGTCATGGCTTCAAACATGCCCCAGGAAAGGATGTGGGAAGAGGTCAAGTGTCCCATTTGCTCTAAACCCATGGTGGAGTCTGTAAGTACTGAATGTGAACATAGCTTCTGCAAAGAATGCATCATCCCTCAGGTTGGAAGAGATGGGGACAGTGCCTGCCCTGTGTGCCAGGCCACCCTTATCCTCCAGCCTAATGTAGAGCTAAGCAGTAAGGTGAACAACCTCATACAACAGGTCCAAAGCTCTGAGGAAGGCCCACAGGGACATCATTGTGGGATTCATGGAGAGCAACTTCACCTGTTCTGTAAGGAACATGGGAAGCTTTTTCACTTGATGTGCGAGGAATGTCTAAAACACCTTGCCCATCGCATGGACTCTATTGATGAAGAAGCTCAGGAGTACCAGGTGAGTGCTTACCACTAGAGCAGGTAAGGAGATGTGCCTGATCAGCGATTTGTTCCCCACACCTTGGGATGAGAGAAGTAGCCTCTGAATTTGAAGGACTGGGGAAAAGAATGATGTCTAATCAAGTGTACAATCACAGACTGAATGTGGTCTTGGAAAGCTGTGGGGAAGTCTGACAGAGGACCACTTTCAGCCAGCCCACTCTTCTATTCAACTATAACTTTACAGCTTCAGATGTGGCAACATTTGGACGCTTGTAAATTTAGGTCATTGGTATTATAGTTAGGTGTTTTTGAGTGTTATACAAACCACAGTGACCCTATAAACAACAGATCTGTACCCTGTCTTATCTTATATCATCCTCACACTTCCTGACCCTCTTGAACCCATTGCAGCCATCACTGTGTCAATCCACCTGGTTGGTGGATTTACTGGTGTCAATCAATTTAGTTCATAGGGATAATAAAGTTTGCTTAGCTTTGTACATGTAGAATGTGTTCCTTGTGGGGCCTGTTCCACATATGCTATTAAGCTCTGGTGAGAGGTCTGAGGGTACATAGGTGTTCAGTTCTAAGGTACATGTGCCCCAGACTCCTGTAGCACTACTGTTATAAAGAACTTGAATTTGGGCACTAAGACCTAAACTGGCTGTGACCATGAGAGGCAGACAAGAGTGCGAAATATGATGGGAGCACAATTGTGTAGAGCTATACTTAGCTTTCCTAAGAACCAATATGATTGTCCATCACTCAGTACTTTTTAGCATGGTTGGGGGATTGATTTGTTGTCTTTCTTTGCAGGAGAAGCTCCAGGTAGTTCTTAGGAAGCTGATAGAAGAACAGGAATTGATTGAGAACTTGGAAATCAATGTTGCTGAGAAGAGAGCTGAATGGAAGGTAAGAATCATAGCCAGAAAGGGACCTTAGACAGGAAACCTGGACAGAATTCAAACTCTAGGCTTAAGAAGGCCTTAACCACAGCTATACTTAACTGAATAGGTGTAGGGTTGATATATCTCACTGTCCAAGAACCAGTTCTTCGTCCTAAACAACATGTCTTTGGAAACTTTGAGCACCAACAATAGTTATAGAAAGGCTTCATGTCTTTTATTCATAGTGTCGCTATTGAGTTGTGCTTGACTCAACAGCAATTATCCTCTGACTCCTGATAAAAAGAAAGAAGGAAGGAGACTAGACAGAGAACTTCCAAATGTAGAAGTGAGAGTTGATAAGAAATGAGTACCGAAAGGAGACATTCTTGCCCCTCTAACTCAGCTTCAGAAGATTTTAATACCAGAGCCTTAGAGTCTGAGAGGAAGTCTTGGACAACCCCTGCATCTTTCAGTTGTTGTTGTTCTTTACCATCAAGTCAGAACCAGCCCATACCTGACCCTCTAGTGAGTTTTCAGAGGCAGTCAGGAACATGGGAGGAGATTTTCCATCTTTCTCCCACAGAACAGCTGGTGGACTCAAACCATGTACCTTTGTTTTGGCAGCACAGTCCATACAACTAGCCTTCAGAGGGCAAAAGTAAAAAAACCAATGTGAGAGGGTGGTTGCCTGACCATGTCCACATCTCTGATTCAAGGTATAAGGAGAAACAAGGCTTGTTTAATGCAGATGCTTTATTAGTTGAGAAGGGGCAGGTCAGGGGAAAAAAGAAAATGGAAAAGCTAATAATGGGGGAAACCTGGAAAAGAAAAATTAAGGACAAGGGAGGGGAAACTTCCAGGACATAACATTCCAGTTCCCAACAAAAGGACAGTCAAAGAATCTTCTAGAAAGATTCTTTCACATGATTTAGGGACAATATTGTGAGCCTTTGTTTGAGGTTGGTGAGGGTGGTGATGGGTGTATTTTTCTATAACCCATAAAGAAATGAAGGCCACAGGACACTCTGCGAGGTAACTAGCTTTGAATAAAGTAGAAGGTCTCGCCAGTCATAGGCTAGCATAGCTGTCTTTGTGGGCCTGCTTCAGTTTGGCCCCACCTGACTCACTAAATCCCCTTAGTCTCAGATGCTTTATCCAGTATTCAGCACGGTAAGATTCTGGGGGTGGGTGTGCCCCTTCGGAACCAGAGTGGTATTCTACAGAGGCTAGAAATAGGTATCAACACATCTCCATTCTTAAACCATGAATGATTCCAATCAAAACGCATTATCTCCTTCTCCTTTAAAACTAAAGAGCAAAGTTGAGATGCGCAAGTCAAGGATTCACATGGAGTTCAAGCAGCAGATAACTTTTCTGGCTGAAGAAGAACAAAGACAATTACAGAAACTAGAAGAAGAAGAGAGGGCTCAACTGAGAATTCTGGGGGAGACTGAGACTCAGTTGTCTCAGCAAAGCCAAAGCCTGCAGGAGCTGATCTCACAGGTGGAGCGAAGGAGTTGGGACTCTGCACTGGACATGCTGCAGGTAAGACCAGGGAGAGGCTCCATCTGAGAGTCAAGGAATTAGAGGAGCTAGATCTGGGCCAATAGGCAACATCATGCTAGGTGGAGGAAAGATTGAAATTGTCAACTACTTCATACTGGGATCCACAATCAGTACTCTTGGTACCAGCAGTCAGATCAGGAGATACATAGCATTGGGAAAGTCTGCTATCAGGGACCTCTCCAAAGTCCCGAAGAACAGTGATTTCAGTTTGAAGACTAAGGTGTGTCTTCTGAGAGCTGGACAGTGAATAAGGATGGCAGAAGAATCATCAATGACTTGGAGTTGGAGGATTGGAGGATAGATTTGGCAGTCCCAGGTCTGGCAAAAAAACAAATAGCTATCCTAGAGAAGACACAGCTATAGGGTATCATAGAGGCAAAGATGGCAAAGTTTTGTCTCACATATTTTGGACCTGTTGTTAGGAGAAGATATTCCTTAGAAAGGCACATCATGTTTGGATACTTGGAGAGGCAGCGAAAGAGAGGAAGACTCTCATTGAGATAGTCTGGTACAGTAATAGGTAATAACAGCTGTGGGCTCGAGTCAAGGATGATAAGGACGGCACAGTCTAGGACAGGTTTTAGATCTTTTCATAGAGTCACTATCCATTGCACTTGACTGCACTTCACAACAACACGTCCGCCATGTGACTGGTCTTCTTAACAACCACAGTCCAATTGATCCAAGCCATGGTCTTGCTAACTTGTGAAGAAAGGTGACAGAAAAACTGATGCCTTTGTGTTGTGGTGCTGAAGAAGAGTACTAACTGACCCGTGGGCTGCCAAAAGCACCGACAGCTCTGTCTGTCTTGGAGAAGGTGGAGGCAGGGTGCCACTTAGAGCCTGAGAGATGATGAAGGGAGGGCTTATACACTTTGGTCATGTCAGGAGGGTCAGTCCTTGGAACAAAACATCAAACTTGGAAAAGTGAAGGGTCAGCAAAGAAGGGGAAGACCTGCAGTTATATAGGTTGACACAATGACTGTTACAATGGGCTAGTGTGTGGCAGAAATGAGGAGGGAGGATGACACAGGACAGGGCGGGGTCCAGATCCATCAACATAGAGTCACTGAGAGTTGTCCTTGGCCCGAGGGCATCTAACAACAATATGTCTACCATTAGCAGAAAACAGAACCCTGGTTCTTGGAACATCGTTAAGCAATGAAGAGTCATGGATAGTTTGCATTCAACACGCAGAAAGGTATAGATTTAGGAGAAAATTATGTCACGCAGCAGAGTTCCTCAGTGGTACAAACAATATGTAGAGGTTCGAGACTACCCTGAGGTACCACAGGAGAAAAACATAGCAATCCGTTTTTTAAAATAATACTTTGCAGCACTCAGGAGTAATTATTTTTTTAAAATACTATCTAAAACGGGAGAGGCTAGAGAGCATGCTGAGAATGAACTAACTCAGGCACATGAGAGCAAATACTGTATAGGGCTATTATTGTAAAAACCGGAAGATAACCAGTATGATGTGTATGAATAGCCAAAGAGGGAAAGGGAGGACACAGGGGCCTGAGGAGAGGGTGGGAGTGAAATCACGAGGTCATAGAGCTTGGTGGGAAGAGGGAGCGAGCGGGGGAAAGAAAATAGCCATTGCAAACCCTACGGAGAACAGTTCTAGTCAGATACACCCTGGAGTGTCATCAATAAAAAGTGACTCAGTGGTAACTGGTTTAATTTGTGGTTTGATTCCATACAATAATGCTCAGGAATGGGAATCCCTGGAAAGTGTCTAACACATACTTATTGTTCTGTACCATCAAGTCAAAACCAGCTCATAGCTGACTCTCCAGCAGGTTTTCAGAGGCAGATAATCTATTTTAGAGGAGTTATAGCCAGAATGCTCCTGAAAAGCAATAGTAATATTTTTCTTGTGTATTCAGAACATACTATCAGGAGGAACTAGTTCCTGGAAAAGGTTCATGCTTAGTAAAGTAGGGGAGCAGTGAGAAAGGACTAGCATAAGGGTTGTAGCAATGGGCTCAAACACGCAATGACTGTGAAGATGATGCAGGGCCACGTAGTGTTTCATTCATTCTGCTGTAGATTGGCTCTCTGAGTCAGAGCCTCCTTGACAGCACCTAACAGGAACCTCTCAGTTGCTACATGAGGGCATCCAACGCCCTGCCCTAGAAATAAATATATAGGCAATATTAAGTACAGCACTGGCCAGAGCTTTGACCAGCAAAACCTCAGAAAATACCCACAAATGAGAACAGTTTCTTGACCTCCTTAGATACTCTCTGTGCTACTGTCTCTCAGTTTCAACCAGGCTGGACGTTTTCCCACTCACCCTTCTTGATCTGAATTTCTAATTCAATTTATTTAGCTGTTTGTTGTTGTTGTTGTGTGCCGTCAAGTCACTTGCAACACATAGCAACCCTATGTACAAGAGCCCTAAACCCTGCTTTATCCTGTGCCAACCTCACTGTCTCTGACACACCTACTCCCATGACTCCGATCACTCAATCAGTCCATCTCATCAAGGGTCGTCCTCTGACATTGTCCCTTCACTCTCCCTAACATGATGTTCCTCTCCAACGACTGGTCCCTCCATATAACATGTCCAAAGTATGCCAAACGAAGCTTCAGGGTCCTTGCCTCCAAGGAGCATCCCAGTTTCACCCTCTCCAGGACAAACCTGCTTGTTCTCCTAGCAGTCCATGGTATATTCAACACTCTTCTCCAGCACCACAGCTCAAAGGCATCAGATTTCTTTCTATCAACCCTAATCACTGTCCAGCTCTCCAACACATAGCATGCAATAATGAAGACTATGGCTTGGATCAGGCTTAGATCACCTTAGTCTCCAGCCTGACATTGTTGCTCCTCATTACTCTGGAGAGGTCCCTGACAGAAACCTTTTCTCTTTTATCTAGCTATGTCATACTCAGGTTTCCTGGTTACTCCACAGCCATCCATACATTTTTCTGCTTCAATTTCATCAGAAAGGATTTTGCTACAGAATGAGAGAGTCCTAGGGCCACAGTTTTATCCCATTACCCTTATGAACAAAGCCTTAGTGGTGACTCCATAACTTACATTCTCTCTCTTCTCTCCTCAGGAGGTTAAAAGTATCCTTGAAAGGTGAGAGGGGGTTGGATTTGTTTGTAAAGGGAAATATGTCAAGAAGTATCTATAACCATGGAAAAGTTTATTGAATTACAAGAAATGTGCTAAAGATTTCCCATATCCTGCTCTACTCTCAAAAACCTGATCCTCCATAAAATACTTTCTACTATTATATTTAATGATCATCCCAATTCTTTAGTTGCCCACAGTGATATCTTCCTCACAGAGTGAGCCCTGGCAAACGGGAATACTGGGAATGTCTAAACTTACTGAGATTTGTTTCTTTTGTAAATGAAGTTTAACCAAATACACACCTATGAAAAAGAGCCATGTAATCAGGAATTCCTAGATGGTAAATGAATGATCCACCTTCAAGGGTTGAAGCCAGGAGGTGATTATAACAATGCGTTGACTTATATTATCAAAGTCACATATGAGAGAAGTTGTGGCAGTGGGTCCGTGGAAGGGTGGTAGAGGAGATGGAGATGAGTGTCTCAAACTGTTTCCCTCAGGAGTGAGACCTGGGGAATGAAGAAGCTGGACATTGTCTGCCCAGACCCAAGGACTAAGTGTTCTGTGCCCGGGCTAAAGACGATGCTGAGGACGTTCGGAGGTGAGGTGAACTCTAGGAGCTGTGGGCCTGGTCCACCTGGGGAACAGAAAGATACAGTCAGGATGAAGAACTGATGCCCAGGGTTGGGGGAAATGGCAGCATCAGAGATATAGTTGAAGTAGGTAGGGCAGGAGAGAGATAGCAAACGTTGTTTGTGAAAACGTTTAGCAAAGACCAGAGTTAGCTAGACTCCATTTCCTCACAAATCAAGGCTCAGAATTTCTCCCTTGCCCTCATCACATAGTTTACTTATGAACAGACCACTGATAACCACCACCTCCTGCCATTCTAGATTCCCCAAGTCTAACTATGGTCCCTTTGTCTGCAGTGCACATCAAATTGGATCCAGACACGGCAAATCCATGCCTCATCCTTTCTGAGGATCTGAGACAAGTGAGATTTGGAGACACCCACCAGAAGTTGCCTGACAATGATAAGATATTTGATTTTTATCCCATAGTTCTTGGTGCCGAGAGCTTCAGCTCTGGAAAGCATTACTGGGAAGTCGATGTGACTGGAAAGAAAGCCTGGGACCTAGGGGTTTGTAGAGACTCTGTGCAAAGGAAGGGACAATTTTTGCTCTACCCTGAGAATGGCTTCTGGACAATTTGGTTGTGGAAGGAACAAACATATGACGCTGGAACCTCCTTTAAGACTTCACTTCACCTTGAGGTGCCTCCATGCCAAGTTGGAATTTTCTTGGACTGTGATTCTGGCACAGTCTCCTTCTACAATGTCACTGACCATGGCTCCCTTATCTACACTTTCTCTGAATGTGCCTTTGGTGGGCCCCTGAGGCCCTTCTTTAACCCTGGTTTCAATGATGACGAAGGAAACACTGCTCCTCTGATCCTCTGTCACTGAAGTTGAGATACTAGAGGCCAAGTAATGACTGGTGACCTTCTGTGGACACTGTCACCTGCTCCCCATCAGGTCTTTCTTATTCACTCACCCTGCTTCTTTTTCCATTAACACTGAGCCCCAGCATTCCTTACCTAGATTGCATATGATTCCTTCTGTTGGTCCCAATCTCATCTGGATCAATGGAAAAATATATGCTGCCCTCTCTATGTGATTAAAGATGGGGTTTTATCTCTGTCCCTACAGCCAATGCTTTGGTCAGATGTGTATTCTATCTTGCAGTGATGACTAAAGGTCTTCCCAAGAAAACTGTGCCATTTGGAACTTTCTCCTCATCTACCCCTCTGATTACATTCCACATCTGATTATAAATGGCTCCACATTGCCTTTTTATCCTTTTTTTTTTTTTTAGAAAACTGTGTTCCTAAATGAGGGTTGATTTAGGAAGGCCTTAGAGTGCTATGGTCAATATTCAGCCTATTGTATATACCGTACCAAACCTGCACTGTAAACATTACACATGAAATATTTACCACCTTGAAAATTATTAATGTTAATGTGTCTTTTTTAAAAAAACATCTTTTCATTATGAATTTAACAAAAGTTTACAGAAAAGTTGGATTTTTAGTGATTTGTTTTTGCATATTTACCTCCCTATACTCCAAGTTTACTTTTGTAAAAAAAAAAAAAAATTCATTAAGTGTTGTATAAATTGCTCCCTAACTACACCCTCCCTCTGTCCACTTGGTTTGCTTAAAAAGTTTAGATACATCGTGTCTCACATTATTCCTCATTCATATTATGTTTCATTCAACCATTCTCATGCATTATGTTTTATGAAATTAATCACCACTGGACCGTGCCCATCATGTGTCTTTGATATTATATACAGTGCTTTTTTTATTCTGGATCACTCTTCTTCCTCTCAAACACTCAAATGCACTGCTGTCAAGCCAGTTCCAACTCATAGCAAACTTCTGACAAGTTTCTGAGGATTTAAATCTTTACAGAGAATACTGGCCATCGTTCCCTTGCAGAATAGCGAGTAGATTTGAACTACCAACCTTTTGGTTAATGGTCTGATGGATTACACTCTGCTACCAGGGCTCTTTTCACTTCTACACCTGGAAAATTTGTTCTGTGATTCTAAGACTCTAGATATCTATTGAGTTTCTCCTGTAACTCTGTATCTACGATAATTATTGCTAAGATAGCACAAATACACTAAGTAGTTGACTTTATGTTATCGATGTTGTTGTTGTTCTATTGTTAATGTGCTGTCAAGTCGCCTGCAATCCATAACAACCCTATGTACAACAGGTTTGAAGCCCTCCCTGTCCTGAGCCAGTCTCATTGATTCCTACACACCAGCCCCCATTGTCCCAGTTACTGTATCAGTCCAACTCATCCGGGGTCTTCCTCTCCTGCACTGTCCCTCCACCCTCCCAAGAATGATGTCCTTTAATTTCTCCTAATTCTGCACATTAAAAGTTCAAATGAGACTCTTGACCAAGTCCATGCCATGTAAGTACCCCACATAGTCCTTGGTTCCTTATGTGCCTTGGCCTGTAAACAATCATCACCTGTTTCTATTTTTTCCTCTGTCTGTGTATGTGTCTATTTAGTTTGCCCTTTCTATACCTCAGAAACATTAAGATTGAGAAAGTCCCCTACTCAGATTAGGCCTAATAACCAACAAAGAAATATAGCTACATTTAAAAAAATAGCTATATTTTCAAATATGATAACACCCACAGATAATAAGGGCCAGAATGCCATATTTTTAAATAATTTTTTTCTTTTCTTTGACTTTAATAAAAGTTTACAAAGAAGTTGGATATTCATTCATTCATGTTGCACATCAGAATTTCCTATATTGAGGGAAAACAATTCAGTCTGGCAACCACTGTAGTGACTGGAGATCTTTTTTGGTTTTGGTGTCAAAGATGGGAGGTTTTTGGAGTCTTATAATTTCTGCATTGATGTTACCTCCCCCATAAAAAGTAACTCTTGGTTCAGAAAAACAAAAGTTTCCTGTGAATGGTTTAGCTCTTTATATTTCAAAATCTCTGCTAAGACATTCTCTGTGTGCACTGCCAATACACTGACCAGCTATAGTTTCTAAATACCTGGAGCACTCTGTTCATGGAGAATCAGGTGGCGTTCCTTTCCATTTCAGTGTGCTTCCAGAGAAATGACAAGCTCCTACCCTGAAATGTCACCTTTGCGGGCAATTGTTTTAGACTTTTCTTCACAGATTTCATTAGGTGGGCTCACGACCCAGGAGATTTTTCTATTTTGTGAACAAAGATTTGAGAGAATCCATTGGCTTAGGTGTAATGTTTGCCTGCAGTCTACCAAGAACCCTAGTGTGTAATGCTACAGCTAGTACAGGCTATGTTCAATTTTAAAAAATGATTGCAGGCAAAGAAAATTTTAGGAATAAGTTATCTTGATATTCACCAGAGTTAAGGAAGCCGCCAAGGGTGAACAGTTCAATGCTAATAGGAATATTCTTGCATCAGGCAAGATGAGTCTCTCATCCTCTTAAACGTCTTTCAGGAAAACCTCCTCCTCAAGTGCATGTACTCCCTGCAAAACAGAACAGGCCAAAACTTTGAAGAATCTTGAATTTTCATCCCTGTACAATTCCAGTTGTTGCACAGACGTTGAGAACCCTGAATTGTGTCCAACACTTTCTCCCGCTGCTTGCTGACTCTTAGAATCCTTTTGCACTCATTTTACACCTTGGTTTAAGTTTGCACAATGCTTTTGGTTGCAATATCATATATTACTATTTTAATAGTACTAGTTCTAGTGCCAGGCCCACTGTCTCTCCATCTGTTGGATACAGAAAAGTCCTTTATCCTTCAGCAACTATGACCCCGAGTTCCTTAGCGATATCCATGTGTCTTGATCTTCTACATGGTGAGCAACTCCTTGAGCAAAGGCTCAGGTCTCAAGGATGTGTTACACTTCTGGTGTTTCTTCCACGTTGGTAGCAATATGCCCTGCTCGTGGGTAATTTTCTTCCTCTTTTAACTTTAGTGATATAAATAGCATGTCGGGTCACATCTCAGGGAAACTCTCCCTTTACATCAGATTATGGCTATAAAATATTTGAGAATTCCATTGCACACTTTATTCTTTTATGCCTTAAATAGATTGTTTTTGTTGTGTGTGTGTTTTTTTAATGTTGTAATTGAAATACTCATGGTAGGTAGTTTCCTCATTATTTATTTTGGTTTAGTTTTGTTTTCATGTACCTTTTTTCTGGTATCCTTACTATATGCAAACCCAGCAGTGTTTGTTAAGATGGCAGTGTCTTGTAGGATCGTACAGAGTGGAAACCAACTTGACAGCACCTAGCAACAAGCATGGACATGAGTAGTGTTGTTGCCATTTTGCAGTTGAAGGAAGACTTGCCAATTAAATGAATTAACTTTCTAAAGGGCAAACAGTATACTTTCTCTTTTTTTTTTTGTTAGTGGTTGTTACATATCATATTGGGTTTTCATTTGATCATTCATACATATTTCATTTGAACATAAATATTTTGTGTTATAACACTAATTACAATTGATTAATGTAACTAAGTCGAGAGTCAATATCAAGTAGTACTATTTATTAGGGTGTCAGGTTGCTGTTGTTGTACAATGTTGAGTCAGAATCAATTCATAGCTGACCCTTGGGTGAGATTTCAGAAGTTGTGACTCACACGACTTTGACTGCACAGCTTTCTCCTGCAGTAGAGCTAGTGAAATTAAACCACATACCTTTGGGTTCAATTCCTTCACAATAGGCCAGAAGATTGTGCCAAGATTCAAATCCAATTCTGGTCCAGAAGTCCATGTTCTTTCTTAAACATCAAATGATCCAAGGTTTCACAGATATCTGGTTGTTTATTTTATTGTCTTCGAAGTCAGTACAAACCATTTTGTTCAAAGTCAGTCGAACTCTTAATATAAAAATCTCCCAAAGTGAGCAAAAAAGAATAAATCTGTACATTGGTAAATGTACCAAACCATTCAGGTATACCACCCAATTAGTAATACAAACTCAGGATTGTGTCTTTTGAAAAGATGAAACCTTGACGACAAAATCTATAATCAGCCTAGCCTTGACCACATAATGTGGTTCAGGAGAGAATCAGTCAACATACAACAATGGCAAGCAAAATGTGTCTATGTGTTAAAAGGCACAGGGCACCAAAGTCACTGGGTAACTGTGCTACATATACCAGGCAAAGACAACATGGAGTTTCTCAGAATGGCAGCCAGCTGTGTCCAGAGGCTGTTTATAAACTCCCTGGAAAAGGAAGCAGAGGATGAGGATATAGGAAACTGATGAGAAAGGTATTAAACTCCACCATACAGAGGCATAGACAAGCCATACCAGACATGAACACAAATAGCACAGGCAAACCTGGCAGCAGCCCTGTGCTCATATCAGCAGCACACCGCTGGGCCACACAGGCAGCTGCTTCACCAGGAGCACACCTGGGAGTAAAGAAAAGAAGCTCTCAGGACCACAGACAAATAAACTCTCAGGATTACAATATGGCTGAGCACTGTGGAAAGAGCCCTACGGACAAAATGGTTAGAGAATGTACCTTCTACAAAAAAGGTTAAAAAATGGGTTAAATTCACCAACTGCTTTGATGGAGAAAGAGAAAGCAACCTGCTTCCATAAAGATGGCTTGGATATGGTGGCTTAGTGGTAAGAAGGTGTGCTGCCAACACAATGGTACACAGTACACATCCAGGAGCTGCTCTGCAGGAGAAAGATGGGCAATATCTTCCCATGTAATTTACTGCCTTTGAAAATGCACTGGAGAGTCAGCGATGAGTTGGTCCCAACACTACAGTACGTAACAACAATTCAGTTCTGCAAATTAACTATGAGTCAGAATCAAGTCAATGACTGTATGTAGAAGTAAGGGCTGGGTGAGCACTGATGATGAGATAATGGTCCAATGCCATTGTCAACAAAATCCCTGATGA